GCAGACCCTACAATGAGAGCCTGCGGGACCTGAACCTGTTCAGCCTTCACAAGCGAAGGCTGAGTGGGGACCTGGTGACCATCTATAAACTCACTAGGGGGGACCAGAAGGGTTTGGGAGAGACCTTGTTTCCCCTAGCACCCCCTGGCATGACAAGGAATAACGGCCACAAGTTGTTGGAGAGTAGGTTTAAATTAGACATCCGTAAGAACTACTTCACAGTTAGGGCAGCTAGGATCTGGAACCAACTTCCAAGGGAAGTGGTGCTGGCTCCTACCCTGGGGGTCTTTAAGAGGAGGCTTGATGCCTACCTAGCTGGGATCATTTGAGCCCAGTTTTTTTTTCTTGTGCCCTGGCAGGGGATCGGACTTGAAGATCTATAAGGTCCCTTCTGACCCTACTTCTATGATTCTATGATTCTAAGAACACTTCTCCTATTTGTGAGACCTCAAGAAATATCCGTAACCCATGATTTTCAGATATGGCCATCTGCATTTAGGGACCTCAAGCCAGATATACGATGAATTTAAGAGCCTGACACTAGTAGGGGAATCATATTTCTGACATGGAGCTGAGGGGGTAATGGCCAGGCCCTGGCTGGAGCTCTGATTAGCCCAGCAGGGAATTGATAACAGTGTTTATCACCCAATTAAGAAAACAACAGAGAAACATTACCAGCTACTTGTTGATTCTGCCTGTTGATTCAGCACAGACTATAGCCAGCATGTAGTCTGCTATCTAATACATAGACACCTCCTCAACAAGGCAGAGGAAAGGGGAGAATTCATGCTTAGCCTGGAGTGGTGAGGGGAGGAGGGAGGCTACAGCCAGGGAGCAGAGTGGGGGGGCCAGCCCTGCTGTCAAGCAGAGAGCTCCACCCAGCCCAGAGAGCATACCAGGGTGCTGGGGGAGTCTGATTTAATTTAAACCTGCAAGGGGCCTGGGACAGACATTGCATAAACCAGTTGGAGCCAAATCAGTTAAGTGTGATACTATTTTCAACCAGGTATAGCTCAAACCAACTCGAGCCATTCTCATACTGGTTTATGTGCACTGACCATCTCTTCTGTTACAGGTTTAAACCAGTTTCTGATCACTTAAACTGGTTTATGTGTAATGTCTTTCCCTAGCCAGGCTGATTAAACTCTCAGACTAACCTCCCTTTTCAAAGCTGGAGTAAATTTGCCACTCTTAATCTCACCCTTGTTAAACTCCACCTAGTCAGCAATTACTCTGAAGAGGAATCAGCAATCAATCTAAAGTAGTGATATTATTTATTATATTGTCCCCTTTCTTCCTCCCCTTCCACCCTCTTCCCCCTGCCCCACCCCCCCCAGGCCCCCA